GGCATCACAGCTCACAGCAACCTCCAACTCCTGGGCTCAAGCGAGTCTACTGTCTCAGCCTCCCAAGTAGCTGGGACCACAGGCACTTGCCACAACGCCTGGCTATTTTTTGGTTGCAGCCATCATTGTTGTTTGGCAGGCCCAGGCTTCGAACTCGCCACCTTAGGTGTATGTGGCTGGCGCCCTAGTTACCTGAGCCACAGGCACCAAGCCTGTAGCCTTTTTTTTTTTTGAGACAGAGTCTCTCATTCTGTTGCCCTGGATAGACTGAGGTGGCATCATGATAGCTTACAGCAACCTTAGCCTCTTGGGCACAAGAGATCCTCTTGCCTCAGCCTCTTCTGGCCCGCCATGAAGCCCAGCTTAGATTTTCTATTTTTAGTAGAGCCTGGATCTTGCATTTGCTCAGGCTAATCCAAACTTGTGAACTCAAGCAATCTACCTGCCTTGACCTCTCAGAGTGCTAGGATTACAGTTGCGAGCCATCACGTCCAGCCAAGAAACCAGTTTTGTAGAGGCAATCTGTGCCATTTATTAATAAAAAATGTAGAAAAATAATGATCTTCACTTTGTATTTTTCCTTCATGGTGTCATTGCCAATAAAGTCCTGAAACTATCCTGCAGCTGACTCTAAGCACTGCTACATTTGGGGATGTGAAGGAGCCGCACGGGGTACGAATGTCAGGGTGGAATGAGTTGCTTATCCTTTTTGGGCTTCCATGTTATTTTTATTTCCAGTGCATATTATGAAACCCTTCTTTCTAAAAAGGCTCTCTATGTAAAGTATTCTAAGCCAGGAGCTTAACTGCCACGCATGCTGGATGGCCTAGAATGCAAGTTTGGTTTAATAGGCTTGAAACTGGGGCAAGGGACCTCCTTTTCTCTCCATGGCTCTTCTGCCAACCTTCCTAAAACACTATATTGAATTTCCTCAAAGCAAGGGAAACAAAAGCCTTTTATATTGCCATGTATTTTTAAACTAATGACTTCTTTTGCATACTTCTATTCATTGCGTAATTAGGAAGAAAAAAGACTATTCGTGTTGAGAGGAAAATTCTTAAAATGTGGCAAACTTTGTAAAATACAGCATATTATGAAAAAAATTTAGTTTTCTTTTCCATGGGAAAAAAACTTCTAAATGATTAAAGCTTAATATGGATACTCTAATACCTTTAGAACTAATATTCTATGTTGAATCTATGTATTAAGTTTCAATGAAGTGAAAAATATTTTGCAGTGACAGAAATATATCACACTTTATATTTTATTCATCTTCTTTACAAAGGATATGACATCTTGGAAGACAGAACAGAGAGAAAATGGAAGCATCTGTTTAAAAAATGATCTTCAATAATTACGGTTATCTCATATGCCAAAACTGGGCTTGCTCTGCTGGTTATAAAGTGCTCAGGCAAATTTTTTTTTTTTTGGTAGAGACAGAGTCTCACTTTATCACCCTCGGTAGAGTGCTGTGGTGTCACACAGCTCACAGAAACCTCCAATTCCTGGGCTTAGGCGATTCTCTTGCCTCAGCTGCCCAAGTAACTGGGACCACAGGTGCCCACCACAATGCCTGGCTATTTTTTTGTTGCAGTTTGGCCTGGGCCAGGTTTGGACCTGTCCCCCTCAGGATATGCGCCCTACTCACTGAGCCACAGGTGCTGCCCAGCTCAGGCAAATTATGTATTCCATACTTTAAAATGAATACTCAAAGATTACAAAATGAATGTTAATAAAAATAAGAGGCTTTTTGTTTTTAATTTCCTAATTTAAAAAAATCTCATCAAAGGGCTGGGTGTGGGTGGCTTATATCTATTATCCTACCATTCTGGGAGGCCGAAGCAGTTGGATCGCTTTAAGTCAGGAGTTCAAGACCAGCCTGAGTGGCTAGTTGCGGTGGCTTGCGTCTATAATCCTAGCACTCTGGGAGGCCGAGGCAGGTGGATAGTTTGAGCTCACAAGTTCGAGAACAGCCTGAGCAAAATTGAGACCCTCCATCTCTACTAAAAATAGGAAAACTGAGGCAGGAGAGTAGCTGGAGTCCAAGAGTTGGAGGTTGCTGTGAGCTATAACGCCATGGCACTCTACCCAAGGTGACTGCTTGAGACTCTGTCTCAAAAAAAAAAAAAAAGACCAACTTGAGCAACAGCAAGATCCTATCACTACTAAAAACCCAGAAAAATTAGGTGGACATTGTGGCAGGTGCCTGTAGTCCCAGCTACTCAGAAGACGGAGGCAGGAGGACTGCTTGAGCCCAGGAGTTTGAGGTTGCTGTGAGCTAGGCTGAGGCTAGCTCTCACTCTGTCACAAAAAAGAAAAGAAAACAAAAAGAAACAAACTCATCAAAGCTAGAATATGGGGAAACAGCTTATTTATGAAATCAACAACCGCACTGTATTAAATACATACAAAAATCAGAATCATAATCCTAAGTGCAGAAATCTCAACCTTTGGCTGGAAATAACTCAGAATATCAATTGTAACGAAACTGAGATATAATCTCCTCCTCCTCTTCCTTCTTCCTCTTCGTCTTCCTCCTCTTTTTGAGACAGAGTCTCACTCTGTCACCCTGGGTAGAACGCTGTGGTATAATGGCCCACAGTAGCCTAAAACTCTTGGGCTCAAGCCACCCTCTGGCTTTGCAGAGTGTTAGGATTATAGGCATGGGCCACCACATCTGGATACCTTACCCATACTTTATAGGAGTAAGTCTTAGCAGCTTACAGATCACATCATGTTCCCACAGATCATATTTTCACACTGTCACCAAATTTGACAGCTTGGTTCTTTCTGTTTAGGTAAGATCTGAAGGGACCTATACTAATTTCAATCTCTGGGGGTTTTTTTGTTTTTTTTTTTTTTATAGAGACAGAATCTCACTATATCGCCCTCGGTGGAGTGCTGTAGCATCTCAGCTCACAGCAACCTCAAACACCTGGGCTAAGACGATTCTTTTGCCTCAGCCTCCTGAGTAGCTGGGAGTACAGGTGCCCACCACAATGCCCAGCTATTTTGTTGTTGTTTGTTGTTGTTGCAGTTTGGCTGGGCTGGGCTCAAGCCTGCCACCTCCAGTATATGGAGCCGCTGCCCTACCCACTGAGCCACAGGCACTGTCCTCAATCTCTGTTTTATCTTTTTTTCTTTCATAGTCTTACTTTGTCACCCTTGGTAGAGTGCTGTGGCATCATAGCTCACAGCAACCTCAAGCTCTTAGGCTCAAGTGATTCTCTTGTCTCAGCTTCCCAAGAAGTTGGACACAGGTGCCTGCCACAATGCTGACTATTTTTAGAGACAGGGTCTCTCTCTTGCTCAAGTTGGTCTTGAATTTGTGAGCTCAGGCAATCCACCCAACTTGGCTTCCTAGAGTTTACAGGTGTGAGACACTGCACCCAGTTTGTTTTATCTTTTTTAAAAAATAAATGACCAGGGCAGCACCCATAGCTCAGTTGGTAGGGTGCCAGCCACATACACCCAGGGTGGTGAGTTTGAACCTGGCCTGGGCCTGCTAAACAACAATGACAGCTACAACCAAAAAATAGCTGGGCATTGTGGCAGGTGTCTGTAGTCCCAGCTACTCTGGAGGCTGAGGCAAGAAAAAAGTTTAAGCCCAAGAGTTTGAGGTTGCTGTGAGCTGTGGTGCCACAGCATTCTACCAAGGGTAACATAGTGAGACTTTGTCTCAAAAAAATAAATAAATAACCAGGTTATAAGTTATTGTAAACATGAAGTGAACTTTTTTTTTTTTTAGAAAAAAAAAGATTCTTATAACAGCCCTGGAGTGGTGAGAGCAGACACCATTGTAATGTTTTACAAGGTTCTAGAGGTGAACTAACATATCCAGCAACAGCTAAGCCATAGAGGCAAGCTTTGAACTTTCAGTTTTTGTGATTCAAATCTCAAATTCTTTTTACAGATTTAGAGTATAATGTTTTAGATCCTTAAATAAGCAAAGTTATATTTAGATCCTTAAATAAGCAGTCCCTAGTCCTCACCAAACCATATTACTTGGCCCAAGTGGTGGCTTCTTGAGATCCAAAGGAATTCAGGGACTACAGAGGCCAGTCTAAACTCAGGGTGGTCACTGGCCTCTTGTCAGCTAGAGGTGCTGTCAGTTTCACCTCACAGGGATGAACTTCAGTAAGGTTTAAATGGATTAGAACTATCTTGACAAATATTTTCCCATCATCCCATCACCATAGCAACCGACATGGCAGATCAGCAAAAGTTTATCAGGAAAGATTACTATAAAGTTGCAGCAAATGCAGCCTCCATCCTACTTCCAAAGTTATCTCCCGGTCTCAACTGGTGCCCGATGTTCCTGTTTCTTGGCATCTTATGCCACTCAGCTCTTGTTCTGTCCTAGATAGATCTCAATACTCTCAACATTGGGCACCAAAAGTCTCTCCTAATTTTTGCATGGCTTTCCCCATATCAGGTTCCCATAGAGAAGAACAATGCCAACATTACACAAATGCTACCGGTCAGAAAAGAGGAAAAGAAGGAATTTCTGTCCGAACAGATTGCATAGACTTTTCAAAATGGATTGCCAATTATTACTGAATGGTCCTTATGATAATAATGAAAAATAAATAAGATGTATTAAGCTTTTATTATACTCCAGGCAGTGTGCTAAGAGTTTTGCATCCATTGTATCATTCACCTCTTCTTCTTTTTGCTGAGAGAGTCTCACTCTGTCTCCCAGGCTAATGTGCCTTAGCATCAGCCTAGCTCACAGCAACCCCAAACTCCTGAGTTCAAGTGATCCTCCTGCCTCAGCCTCCTGAGTGGCTGGAACTACAGGCATCCACCACAATAACCAGTTA